TCATCAAAAAGCTGCACCCCTGACGCAGGCAGCCAGCTGGTTGGCGGGGGCGGTGCATTGGGACTGGAAATTACCGAGGAGATGAACGTTGGAAATTGTTCCTCATTTACCGACGAGACTAACGTTCCAATTTAATTCACAGGCGTACTTCTCGTCGGTGATATCCCTTCCCTGCTTTCCTCAGGCGGCCGGAGTTTTGGTTACAATTACCGACAAGAAACACGTGTGTATGTTGTTAAATTACCGACGAGTCTTACGTCTGTACAAGAAATAATATATCTTACTACCATTTTTACTGTTTCTCAACTTGCAGACTTACATCTTCTCGGTAAATGGATGCTTCACCGAGAAACCTTCTTACCTCGGTGATAGCTGGTCGGTAAAGCTAGGTTTTCTTGTAGTGATCTGTTCTAATTTCATTCGTTGTTCAGTCAAATCTTTTAACCAAAATAGTTTTGTTAATATTTTATTGTTTATTAATTTGGTCATAATGACTGACGGAAATATAGATACCCAGCTTCCTTTTTCATTCCCTAGACCATGTTTCGGGCAAATTATTTGACTGTATTATGTAGATTTTCAATTAAGATTAAATTTTATCCGAATTAAGATTAAATATAGTAGCTTCCTTTTTCTTACGGAAGCTACGATATTTGAATTAATAATTCAAGCAAAAAATTTGACCAAATTATTTGTCTTGAAGAGAATATTTGAATTAACAATTTGAGCAAAGAATATAACCAAATTATTTCTTATTTGGTCAATAATATTTCTACCTATTCAGTAAATATGTTTGTCCAAACAAGCTATTTGTAGTGGTGTTGCTATTAACCCTGCTTCCCGATCTCACCAATTACGCTAAGGGCTGCAATGTTAAAAGTCCACTTTATTAAAGAAGTTTTTATTAAAAATTGATCCCTCCCTCATTCTCTCTCATATACACACTTTTCATACCTCCCTTTGGTTCAATTTCTTCCTCTAGCTCTTCCCTCACTCATGCACAACGATTTTCTTCATAGATCCATATGGTGACAACACAGAATAAAGGATTAAGGTGCAGAATTATCCCTAAAATTGTTGGGTAAAAGTAAATTCACACTTACAAAAAAATTGCCACATTTTGCTATTTCAAATTATTAATTTAAGATTTTGGTCTAAATATTTAATTGTTAACTTTAGTAGCCATCATCATTTCATTTAAAATTTGATGACGTGGCATGGTTGCTTGAAGCAATTTAATTGATGATTGCTAATATCAATAGTTAAATTTCAATGAAAATCTTTAAATCAACAATTTAAAATGACAAACAATGCCAACCTATTTCCAGACGTGCATTTGCTTCAACTCAATAACAGTTTAGAAGTGATTCAACCTACCTAGAATAAACGTCCAATAAGTTTTTATTTTTTATTTTTTGAATATAGACATTTTATTACAATTAAAAGTTAGGGGGAAGAGAAAATAGGAAAGGAGTTGGTGAATTTGAATACAACTCACTAAATAAATTTTACACAAGACCTATACTTAAATCACTGCTCCTATAACTTGGATTTCAAACGTTCAATAAGTTGAGCGTCGGTAAATGTAGTTTTCATAGTGAATTAGTGTACAAAAAGTCAACAAATATCTTTTGAAGGCATGATAATTTAGAGGGCCAGAAGCGCTTATCAGCCCCTAAACTTGTGATTTGTGGATAATTTGTGCTTAAACTTATTTTAGTGGAAGACCAACCCTAATTTCAAGGTTGTGGGAAATTAAACCTTTGCTAAAAGGTTGATTTGAGGATTTCGTGTAGTTAAGGGGTTGATTTGCACTAATTTGAAGTAGAAGGGCTGGCATGCCACAACATTGTAAGTAGAAGGGTTGAATTGCATCTTTTACTTCTTTTAAAACCAACTATTGTAGTGAAAATCCTATTAACACAGATCATATATGTCAATTTTGAAATTATTTTAATAAATTTAATCACTACATTAATTATAAGAAATTTGTTACTATTAAATTTATAAGTAAATAGAGTTTTTTTTATTAAAAAGTTATAAATATTATATCAATATAAAAATTAATATACATGATTTATATAAATAAAATTTTAATTTAATAGTCAACTTTTGAAAATATTAATTAAAAAATGAGTTTTTAGACAAATTTTTTAAAAAAGTTTTAAAAAGACTACTTACCCTGCATTATCCTCTTTTCATTTTTAGTTTTTTGGCCTTGTATAGATTATATATATATATATATATGTCCAAATTAATAGAAGATTAAATAATAAATGAATATTATGCATATTTTAGTTACACTTCATCTATATAATTTTTATTGAACATTATATACATTTTTTATAGCAGGAAGAAAATAAATTTCATTAAAGAGGTAATGGGGTAAGTCAACATATCAATTAATTATATCTTTATTTATAAGAATCTTCACTGAATATCCCACTTAAGACTAATTTGCATGAAAAAATTAAAAAAAAAATAATATTAAAAACAAAAAATATAAACTTATTTAATAATATTAAAATTATTCTTTTATTATTTATATAGTAATCATAATATATAATATGTTGAAAAATGCATGAAAGCAAACAATTTTTTTTATTTAAAGGTGTAAAATATATAAAAACCAAAATTAAAAACTCGAATAGTCTTAGGCTCTGTTTAGTGAGATATTAGTTTTGAGTTTTTATTTTTTATATATTTAGTAGTTATTTCTATATTTGATATAAAAAATAAAATCTTAAATGTGAAAATCATAAACATAATAAATGAAGCCTTATAGTATGTTTGGGTTAAGGCTGAATGGGTGGAGATGGGAAGGGGAGGGGAAGAAGGATTTTTAAATTAATTAAAAAATCTTCTTCCTTTATTTTTTTTCGATCTAAATATACAATTAATTTACTATAAAGTAATAATAGGAAGGCCAAAAATTTGAAACTAATGACATAGTTTATATCATGTCATTAAATTAGTTAATACATATAATATCATAAGTTTTAAAAAAATCATTTAATAAATAATATATGGTTTATTTTTTAAATATTTTAAATGACGTAACTTATGTCTTGTCATTAATTTTAAATTTTAGTTTTATTTATTATTATTCTTTACCATATTAATTTTTATTTGTCACATGTGAAAAAAAATAGTAATTAATTAAAAGAGCTTGCAGGGAAGGCCACGTAGGGTCCAGATTATTAATGGGTGCTTAATTAGAACTCGTGTCTTGTTAAGTTCGGATAGAAAGACGATGAGAACAAATGGCGAAGGTTTAATTTGCAACAACTGTGAAGCTAAAGGGTTGATCTTCCAAAAAAAAAAAAGTTTAAAGACAAATTACAACAAACGAATAAGTTTAGGAGCTAATAAGCTCTTTTGGAAAATATCCACAAGGTTACGTACGTCATTTGTGTTACAGCCTTTGTGTCGCGGCATCCTCACGACACCCGGCATCCTCACGACACCCGGCTTCCCAAGTCGTCGAATATTTCGAGCTCCCCACAGGGGCATGACGGTTGCGATGGACTTCTATTTAACCTTAGCACGCGCGCTGATAGCCTGATAGCGGACTGTCGCCGGAGTTAATGTATCCTCCTCATTTCTCAAGTCTAATGCATCGATCGTGACAACCATTTCCGTTTTCTACTTGAGGAACAGGTTGAGTCCATCTGAGTTTGGGTTAAATAATTTTTTATTTCGGGTATCAGTTGGGTCACTTCTAATTTTAGATGGGATTTTTTAATTTATATACTAAAGGTTCAGATTAAATTTTATTAATTATGTTATTTAT